TGCCCTGGTTCGCCTGCCGCTCGCGGGCCTGTTCTTCGGCGCCGCGTGTCGACGACCCGCCAGACGTCGGCCTCGACCCGGACACGATGGACGACAACGAGGATCAAGCTAGGATATTTTGGTGGGTCTACGTTTATTTATACTCGCCGGCGCGCAGGCGAAGCTTCGCCTCGCAGCTTCGCATGCACGCGCTGAGGCTCTCAAACAGAGCGGCTCGGTGGGACGGTGTCGCATTTGGCAGGAAGGCATCTTCCTCGCAGTGTCTGTACACCAAGAACATGAGTGGGGTGTGGCCTGTATATCTAACTTGCGTCAAAAGTTCGGTTTCTCGCTCGCAAATAAGCTGGATCGTGGATAACGCGAGTGCGGCTTGAGTCTCGTTGTAGTGGAAAAGAAAAGCGAAGCAATGCAGCAAATTATTCCCTTCGACCGGGCTCCGGTTCGTCGTTTTGAAGCCCGCGTCATATAAAAGACGGAGGATCTCGAGCGAGCCTCTTTTGACGGCTCTCAGGAATACGTCATCTACTTCTGTGCCCTTGCGATCAGGAGGCTTCGCGCCCGCGTCCAGAAGCAGCTGAATGACCTCGAGCTCCGAATTTGCACACGCCGCTTCGAGCGCATGGATTTTTGTACAAAGGACCTCATTCCCGTTGCCGACAAGAAATTCTGTGTTCGGATTGGCGCCGCGACGGACTAGCTCAGAGACGAAAGCGGCTGGGAAACGCCAAAATATCGCAGAAGCGAGCGCGCAGTCCGGGTTGAGTCGGAGGAGCAGCGATTTGAACTCGTCACATTTAATTGACTCGTAAATAATTTCTCCGGTCAGACGGCTGGTCGGACGGAACATTCGGAGACGGACAAGCTCTGGTGAATTCGACAATGCGGCACAGCTCTGAGGCCACGACGTCAGATCCGCTTCTTCAGCGAACGCGACGCGCACGCTGTTGAGATGCCGCAGGGCTTGCAGGGCCCAGCCCAGATTAATCAAGACGAGCGCGTTCTTCGACTCTATGCGAATCGCCTCACACCGAGCGAACTTGTTCAGAATGTGCGGCGACGACATCACCCGATCATTTACTCGAGAAAGTCGGCGGACGTAGCCCAAATCCACTCGACCCGCGCGGTCGGCCGTAGTTGCGCTGAGAACGTCTGAAAACACGAGGGAGTCGAGCACGAGGCCGCGCAGCGGCGCCGGGAGTCGCTGCATGCTTGAGACGCGCGCGCACGGTTATGTCGCGTCGTGCGAACGCGCACACAACCGTGTCGCGTCCTGGGGAGCTGGGGCCACGTCGAGGGCACTCAAAAACCTCATCGATGCGGGACCGGTCA